TATTCACTTATGCACTTGCTATGGAATCAGCATTGTGTGTAAGTTGATAGCCTGTATGGGAAAGGAAAGAATGGCAAGCTGATTACTTTATGGTTATTTCACAAAACTGATGAGACAGCAAATGATATTCAATCCTATTAAGAAGAATAAGCACAGCCTTTTTTCCCCCCTTTTTAAAAAATCCTACATTCCTTGTGCTGGGATTGGATGATATGATTCTACAATTCAGGGAGTCTGCAGAACATCTGCAACAAAATTGGTTTTCTGTGGAAAACTGATGAATCACTTATTGCCAAAGACTGGAAGGAAAAGTACTTGTTTATGCCCTTATGTAATGAATTTTTATGAGGTGAAGTTTGCTGTTTATAAAAGATACACTTTCAGTTGCTGTAGATGCAAAATAATAGAATTCAGAATTTAGACCAACATATTACTAAAAAGACAGTCACTAGCAGAATATCATCTGCTTACAAAATGCCAAAAAAAGGGCTTTTACTTCTATAATAGAATTAAAATTTCCATTCATCCTCTAAGGACGTACAAGAGAAAAAAATAACAGGGACAATATTAACACTGTTACCTTTGTTAATGCATCTTAAAATGAATACTATTGTCAAAAAATATGTATTCTGCTTCAAAAAAGTACATCTGAAACATAGCATAGAAGAAAATCATGCTCATGAGCATTTCCTCAAAATGCAAGCAGTGTCTCTCTGTAATCACAGACAACCAAGTACCTGCTCTTCCTTGCATGCCCCTTCATTAACATTCTCTCCCTTTTACATAAGAGTTAAACTTATAGATCAGGTAAGAACTGACCATTTCACAGTCAAATGTGTCTCAACACAGTTGTATGTCTGCAAATTAATTAGTGGAGCTGGTTTTGAGAATTTAACTGAAATAATTGGTTTATTCTTACATTGGGGGATGGCAACAGAAGTTGATTCCTATGATAACTTCAGTTCTTTCTGTATCTTGAGACATTTCAGTAGATGTCACTGCTTGAATGTGATCTCTTTTTGTATCCTGACAAATATTTCCAGGAATAGCTGTAGATGATTGGAAATGTGCAGATATATTTTTAATGACTAATGCATTTTGTATTTCTTTAGCAAAAGCTGTTTTGCTGTGTATCCGAAAAACTTCAAGTGATATTTTCTTCATACTTATCTCCTTGTCTTGGTTCTGCAAGTACTGCTAATGCACCAGTCTTTCTTGGATCAATTTATATGTTTATGAAGATGAGTTTTTGCAGCACTAAGCAATCGTGCAATGAGCAGTCCGCATTCATTTGTGCCTTGCCAAACATCTACCACTTTCGTAATTGTTACATGATGCCTGGTGTTGCTGCTATTGGTCAGAGGAATTGTAAAAAGGATGTAACTGAGAAGGCACGCTGCAGGTCCATCTATACCTTCTGCAATGGCCAGGTCTGCTTAAACCTGGAGACAGCTGGCCAAGCACAACTTAACTGTTATCCTACTTTCTGCAATGCGTGTGACAGAAGCTGTTGCACTTGGCTAATTGCCCATCTTAAGCTTGCATTTGCAACATGCTCTGGCCATTCAAGCATTGCAGTTGCAGAAGAAATACTACTCACCACATGGGACAATTTTGTCATCTGTATATGGAATGAACAGCAGGGAGGACAAAGCTTTTGCAAAGAAAAGGCCACTTCAAAATTATCATGCTTCTCACCCTGAAGCCACAGTGCTCTATAGCTCCATCCCCTGTGTCCAACAGCACTCATTGCCTCTAGCCTGGCCCTATTCTGATCCTTTGGGTTAGTATAGAACAAATCAAGGATGGATTGTTATTACTGATAGCGTAACAGTCATAGAGATGTTACAGCCTGTAGTGAGAATTATCCTGAAGCAATGGTAAATATTTGTTCTCTCTATCTATCTATCTTTGAACCATATGTGGGGCAATCCATGGGATAAATGGTCTTTGGTAGGAGCCTACATTAAAGGAGGCTGAAGGCAGGAGTTATCAATAAATACTGCACTCACATCATACAGGCTTTTGCTAATTACAGAGACTTTTGTGGATATTATAAGTGGCTATGGTAGTCACTCATATGAGAAACTTACCTACATAAGTACAAACAGACTAAAACCTTCTTTTCATCAATGCAAAAACTTAATTAGCCTCTGGGTCTGCATCGTGTACACTGCTTCTTACGCCTTGTTACGAGCCATCTCTACCCAGATAATTGGGTCTCACATAGTATGTTCAGATGTTCATTTCCTGTTGTGGTTTAATGCATCTGAAAGTAAGATGGAGATCACCAGTGACAAACTGGGTATCAACATCCAGGATATCAAGCCCACTATTGTACCTTACTGTACCATACCCATCCATGACTGAAGACCTTACATCAAGACTGGGTATAAAGCAAAGGATTCCTTCAGAATAATCATGTTACAGGCAGTAGACCTGATTTAAGGCAGAGTAAGTTTCAAAACTCTTTGAAAGTCTTTAGTGCGAATAGATTCCAGTGTTAGATTCAATGCCACCACAAACACTAGTTACTGTCTTTGCCTGTTGCAATAAGCACTCCACTAGTCACCTAGCTTGAATGATTGCCATGCCTCTTTGCAGTGAAACCTGATCCTTTCTGCACCCTGTCTTTAGGCCCCAAACAACGTGAGTCTAACTACAGAGGGCAGGCTAGCAATCTTGTTAGGGAATTGGGTATGTTTACCTGAAGCTTCTATTGAACCTGTAAGCCATGACTTCTTTTCCTGACAATGTATCTCTGAGAAAAATGCTTGACACAGTTACTACAACAGAGGTATCCTTCCTTAAGGTAAGAAACAATTCAGAGATGCTAGGTCAGGCTACTTCCTTGGCAGACTGCATCCTGAAAGACTAGTTCGGTAAGATCTCTAAATAAGATGGCACACCAGCTATTGGCAAGTGTCTAACAGTTGGGGGATATGACAGGACATGACACTTTGGTCACTTCAATCAAACTTGGTAGTTCTGCAGTCAGAGGATAGACAGAGGGTTGTAATGAATATGGAAAATGACAGAAGAGTCTCTTGCCCTCTACTGGGCTACTCCAATATGTTATGATTATTTCTCCATTACAGCTCTTCCAACAGAGCATAGCACAGAGTGGTTACCAGACCAATAATCTTTTGTTCCCTAAAATAACCTCGAAATATCTCTCTCAAAGTAGACTGATTCATTTGAGATGCATGGTTGCACACTGGCCAACTTTACTGTTCTTTGCACCAGTCTGTTCTCTAAGTAAAACTCAGGATCAGAGAAGTATGCAACTAGAGATTTTGTACTTAAAAACTGCCTGCAAGATTCAGAACTACCTGTACTAGCTGTTGCACAAGTTTGCCCATTACCTCCTACCTGAAACGGGTCGACATTCTGTGTGCAGTGAACAGACAGTTTGAGCAGAGGTACAAAAATGTGGGTGTGCTCCAGAGACTGGAAAAGATAATTTCTTGGCTTTGGCAGATGCTCGACAAGTATCTTTGCGCATATTTGTGCAGCTGTCTGTCCCAGCCTGGGAGGGATCCCCCCCCACAACTGTCTTTTGCTTGAATGCCATCTATTTGGTCACTGTGCCAGGCTTGCATCAGATCCTACCTTGGAAGTGGGCTCCCCTGGAATGGTGGAAACACAACTACAGTAACAATTTAGGTGGATGTTCTGATGATGAAAATATGGAAAACCCTCTTGGGAGGGTGGAGGCAAGCAGTTGTAATCTACTTGACCAATTCTACTAAGAGTTTTACCTGGTAATGCACAAGGGGTTGACATTCAAGAGGTATGAAGCACCGTTTTGAAACTGCTCCCCGGTGTTTTGGTTGAAGGCACTGTGACTTACAGTAGCCCAGGCTACCATATTTTTTTATTAGAAGTAGACGACCATCAGCTTTAATATCTATCATGGCAGTAACCACACGACCCTATCCTGTGTGTCTACTCATGCCACAAGATTCTCTTTTTAGTACAAGCCAAGACAGTTTCCTAGCAAACACACAGCAAAGCGTTAATAGTTGACAATTTACTGCTATAACTAGTCTGCTCAAAAGGAGAACTATTAAAAAGATAATTTGCTTTGGAACTTAAGATTGAAGAAACTTTTATGTGAACTGTAAAAAAACCTGTCATAAACTAATTTCCCGCTTTGTATTTTAGTCTCATGAATATCACCTGACAGTCAAACCACTGAATAAGCATAACTAGCCTTCCAAAAAGGTCTCTTAGAAAAAAAGGCAGACTTCAGAACCTCCTGTTAAGACATATCGTTTATTTGTAAACTTGGTTTTCATAAGAATGACACGTCAGATAACAACTGAAGTATTATGCTCAAACAAGGATATTAATTGGATTGTATACAGGAAATGTATTTCTTTCATCTTTCTTAACATCTTCCCTTTACCACTTTGTCCAGCTAATCCTCAATTATCACATCTCACACTTATGGAAAAATAAAGAAATAGTTTCAGGTAATGCAGAAATTCGATAATATCCCTGTTATTTCTTTTATAGTATACTGAAACTCCTGCTTTTAAGTCTTCCATAACATTACTTAAATGAGACCTCTCTTAAAGCACTAGAGTAGATGGGAGGGGTGGTGGTTTGTAGAAGCCTGACTCCTTTAATCTAAATATCTCTTAAAAAAAAAAAAATAATAATAAAAAAAAAAAAAAACACCTTGTGACAACTAGTAATTCTCATTCAAGTGAAGATATGAAAAGTTTTCTGATATGTTTATTAATATAATTAGTTTGTTTCAGTTATAACTTCATTTTTTGATTTCTGATACAATGAAAACGTTCATGTATCACACAGACACACCACAGAGCACAAATTAAACTTAATACAGGACTCTAACTCCTATTCAAGACTGAATAAAAGGTCTGGTCCTGTACCTTTCTTAAATTCTAGGCATTTATCCTTTTCCCTTATGCATGTATGGCTGCTCAGAAGTACATTCTCATGACAGGTAAACACTAAAAACTTTTTAGAGAAAATAACTGGAGATTAAATTCCAAACTAAATTTTATTCTCTCTACTGCAGATAACACATCGTCACCAGATGTATCTTAGCCCTTTGTTACAGGAGAGTTTTAAACTGAAAACATAATACTTATGAGGACAAATGATCAATGCAATTAGTATGTAAAATTAATTATCGTTTGATTAGCCTACAAATTATCTAGCTTTTTTCTGTAATATCTTCAAGTAAGACTCTTCTGCAGTTTATATATTTCAAGACACAGCAGAACAGAATTACAATATAAAAAAAGGTATGTGTTTAATTTAACAGTGCTATAAGTAAGCTGCTGAGCATTCACTTTGGAGTCCTAAAAAGCTAACCTGGTAGGAAAGAGTTTATCAATATGCAAGTTGAAACCTTGGTCTCAATCTGAGTTGTGACCACAACTGAACAAAGGTTGAACTGACCAGCTCAAAGTCAGGGTTGCTAACGTATTTATTTGGGAAGAGCTGTTAGTAATATGAAAGGACAACTCATAGAGAATCACTTCAGGACCAGCAAGTGAATCCAGAATATTCTCCAGACTTGCTAGTTTTGATGCTTCTAATAAAGCAGATTTGCACCTGCTGGTTCAAATTGCAATGGTGAGTAACAGAAATTTGTCAGGCTGCTGATACACATATTTGATGGCCAGTAATATGTTGCAGCACAGTATCTGGAAGCAGTTGCTCTGAAGTCTCTGTTGACTCACAGAACAGTAGCAGAATTAATGAAGTTTTAGGCTGCCCAAAGATACTTACAAACCCACTAACTATATTTAATTGCATCAGATGAAAGCGCTGTGTGTCACTCTAAAGATCAAAACCTAGAATTTAAGATCTTCAAATAAACAGGCTGGTGGGTTGTTTTAATCAGACACTGAAGAACGTAATAAACCATCTCATAAAAGTAGATCAAAGATATTGGATCAGTTACTATACTATTTTTGGGACTGATTATTGATGATAGCCAATCAGGAACACAGTCACCATAAAGTGATTTATTCCATTTAACTGTGTAAGTATGAGAATTTGATTTAAGAGCCAAAAAAGGATGCAAGGTATTTTTGTGTTAATGAGATACTTCTGGATAAGATTTCCTGTTAAAAAAAGACTGCAATTAAAACAAAAAACACACAAAACCAAAAACCTACAAAACCAGGTCAGACAATAAATGGATAAAGTGTTAAAACAGGGAATAATAAAAACATTGCAAAGACAGCAGAGAAAACACATAGTAATAGTAAAAACCAGGAAGAGTTACCTACATTTTTTTAATGTGTCTACATACAGATAACTGTGTTTGATCTATCTTCTGTGTGGTAGCAAGCTATTAGTGAGGTTTGGCACCCATCTTGACCACACAAAAAAAAGAAGAGGGGCAAGTTCCAAAGACAGCATCTTGTGAGTAATGAGTTTTCTCCAGTGTCTCTGACTGAGAAGAATGCGGGTTACCTTGGGCAGCTGCCACATTCCAATGGATGATGAACTGCGTCCCTCAGTTTTAAAGGAAGAAGTGGGAGGTGGTCATACATATGTCACTGAAGATCACAGACATATAGCTGACTGAGAAAATTATTCCAGTTATCTCACAAAGGTCTAGAAGGTGCACCATATCTGCTCAAGAAGTGGTTATATTTCCTGTAGGCACATTCTAACTATGCAGCATCTATTGGTTTACCACGTGGATCACTTAAAGCTTATGGTCTATTGATAAGAAAGCAGTTCTAAGTTAGAGAAAGTCTATGTCCTGTTATGGTGGGTGAGTATGATGAAAACTATTAATAATCTGCTAAAATGACAATTCATCTTACACCTTTCCTTTTTGCAGTGGAACATCACACCAGGAATTCAAATTTAAAACATTCAAATTTAAAATTAATTCTTTAGGCAAGACAAGGATGACTCTTCCACTAAATCCATCTACTAGCTAAGTTTTTAATGGCAGAAGCTTTTACAACAAGCTTGAGAAAATCCACAAAAGGGGTAAAAGCTTACTGGGTACCTTCTCCGTCTTTGAGGGGAGTATATAGCATGCAGTTAGAAAGTGGCAGACTGACAGACTCTAGATCTAAGAAGGAATGACTTGACAAGATAGGGGTATCAAACTGGGATCAAGTAGTCAGAGAGTAGAAGATCTGGTGAACTCCTTTCTTTCCTTCAGAGAGGCAAGTTGGTGCTGTTACTCAGTAAAAAACTAGGACCAGTAAAGACATTTGTTACAACAAATTACAGTCTCCAAAATCACTCTTAAGCTGTCTGTTTATAGATCTTCTGAATTTTTCCATTAATCTCTTCAACATAATATTTCATGTACAGTAAAAAACCAAATCAATCTTATATCAGGCACGCAATTCTGTCATTTCCATTTTATATTTCAGTGGCTGAAGACTGTGTACCTCTGAGCTGCATTTAGGACATGTAAAATACATATCAAATAAATAGTTACTTTTAATACAGTAGTAACAAAAAACATGTGAACAGCCTATGGTATGAGGCATGGTAGGCCATTCCCCACATAGTGAACATTCCTTGCAGTGAGCTGCTAATGTGTTTTCACTATTGGAAAGACCTGCAATAGGCAAACACCAAGCAGATATTTTAAGTTTTAGTTTCTGTAAATTAATAAGTGGTAGCAGATAGATGAGAAATTCAGCAAAGCCATGCCATAAGAGCTCCCTGTTCATGTATTCAAATCCTACTTGACGAACACTTTGCGGCTTGCAAAAAACTGACCTAATTCCTAGAATCCGTTCTGTAAGTGTTGCAAATGTTCCTTTCTGAAGAAAAATCAGAAAATTTAGAAGTCCACAGAGTTTAAGAAGTCCGGCTCCAAAGTTAATATAACCCTTCATTTTGCAGAAAGATTGCAGTTGACGATTACTAAATAAATCATAACATCTTTCCTCCAACCATCTTCCACCAACAGTGAAAATAAGGTACCATAACTTCTGCTGTTTGCTCAGAGATTGGTATTTCTCTGTCTGAGATAAGTTATTCTTGTATTGAATATTCAGAATAGCCTGCCCCACAGTTGCATTCTTGGAATAGACAGTGAATCTCCATAATACAAGCCATAAAAATGCTTTTACTTCTGGTTCAAAATGAGCCAACACCCCTGGTTTAAATCCATGAAAACAGCTGGTAAACTGGGACCACACTAGTTGTTCCAGAGCTTTGTTTAGTTCAAGAGCATCAAGTTGACTTATTCTGAGAACAGGATTCACACTCTTTTCATTTCCAATGCTGGAAGCCATTTCTTCACAAAAAAAAATCTAGGAATAAACACAAACAGGTTTAAGCATAATGGAGCATTCCGATTTTTATTAAATATAACAAAGTTGTAATATACCAGCAGTAAACAAGAAATAATGAAAAAGCTTCTTCAGAATGCTATATTAATATGCTATAAGTCCTTTCAGGAAGCTTTACATTAACAGCATAAAATTTCATCTCAGAAGAAGTCATATTGGACTATTTCTCAAAGAGTACCATTTGTATTTGGTTACAGAGAAGTGTTTAACACATTTCAGATATTTAGAAAACTCCACAGATTTATTTTTTTTTTAATTTATAGAGTGAAATATTAAAAGTTGCTGGGCATAATGTAATATTCAATTGCACCTTGAAACAGAAGATCAGAAATGAGGATTGTATATCTATATGGTATTTTATGGAGAAATAGGGAAAATGAACATACTAACTAAAATCAAGAAGAGAACGGGGGGGTGGTGGTGGGGGTGGTGGTGTGGTGTGTGTAGAAAATAGTGCAATATGAATACTTCAGCAGCTGCAGACGAAAGTAACATCTTAGAATTACTAACAGATTTAAGGATTATCTACAGGAAGATATGGATGAAAATTAAGGTGGGAGTGATAAAACTTGCTAAATAAAGGCAGTGATTTGTTTAGTTTAGAGAAGAATCATTACATGAGATTAAAGAAATATTCAGCATTCAGCCATAAATTATCATAGAGTACATCACTGAAGCCTGCATATATTTTCTAGAGTCTCTTGACAGATGTGGGATTGTGCTACTTGTCACATAGCAAATTTCCTGGCAAGATGATTAATGTATACTAGCAACTTCAACAAATGTATACTCTTCTTGTTCAAGCATTACAGAGATTTTTTTTTTTTAAATTACTTGGTTTAAATGTTATTGTATCTGGCATTCCGTGACTAAGAAAATAAATGTAATAAATTTCAAGAGCAAAATATGAATAACACCTCAGTAATGCAAAGTTGTGGGGTAACTGATTTTTGGTTCCTTTTTGCCCACATGAAAAACGTAAAGTGATTTAGAAGTGGTGTATTTCAGGTAGAACACAACATATTTCACTTGCTAAACCAGATTCTTTGTATAACAGACAAGCAAGGGTCAACAGCTTTCTGGAGGAAGTACAGAAGAAGGTACTTCAAATCCTTATTCATAAGAGGAAAATCTGCTGTAACACAAATCTGCTTTGAATAAAAGTTGCTGTAGAGGATTCTATATAGGAATGGTTGCTAATGATGCTAAGAATACTAAAAAAAAAAATAAAAAAAATCCTCTGAACCAGTAACTGCTTAAATGGAGTGCACCAAAAGTTTTAAATCCCAGTATGAAATATTAAATATAGTATTCCTACTGCTTTCTACACCTATAATTGGTCATGTCTGTAAGGAAAGCATCATGCAAAGCTAACAGGTAGTATGATTTTGCTCTTCATGTATGCTGTACAACAGTATTTTCCAATTGGCATACAAGAGCTCCACTCAGTTTCTTTAAACTCCTCCCTCATTTTCAAGCAAAATATGGCTGAAGCTACTGTGAGGCAACCTCCCCTGGGCAAACAACTATGAGGTTCACTGCATCAACTCACACTAGCCTCACAAGCCAGTATACAAAGGCAGTATACCCAAGCCTGTCTCAGGAATTGTGGTTGGAAAACATTATCCAGTATCATCCCAACCTCCTCCACTTTGTGATCAGAGGGTCAATTCAATCCCTATTTCATCTTGTATCACTTCAAAAACTCCAGCTCCAGTGACTATCTGCCCTCCTACCCCGATCTTCTCATCCCACTACCATTTTAGGAACCACATCCTCTGATAATCATCTGCTCTGGAACTTAACACTGGTTTACTGCTATTCACTCGTAACCCCTAAAAGTCTAGTGTCATCTTAAGTTCTGCTAACATCTCAGTCCCTTCTACTCATTGCTCTCTGTTCTACTCATTTCAGTTCACCTCCTGATAGTGTTCTATACAATTCCCAATACACAAAATTACCTTTCACATTATTTGAAAGTGTCATCTTATCAATAAGCTTCCTTGATCCATCTACTAAGACTATTTTCCAAGAACAGCTCAACCACCTCTTCCAGCTGTCTTTCATTATCCCAGATGCTATTCAAAACTGCTGTTGTAGATTTCTCATAAATCAGGTAGGCTATATCTGTGCAGATTTTTTTTCCCCCCACGTATAGCTAGATTATTTAAAGAAACCTCAGCAAACGAGGAATGGATAATCAGGAACCTTCTGAAGTTCATAGAAAAAGTGTCAAGTGGTATTACAATGGATCATAAAATACACAAGAAAAATGGATCACTATAGGCTGGGAGGTGACTGACTATGCAGCTGCTCTGAGAAAAAGGACTTGGGGATTCTGGTAGGCAGCAAACCGAACACAAGTCACCAGTGCATCCCTGCAGCAATACTGCCTACAGGAGTCCATTAGCATGTGTGTAGCTGGCAGACTGAAGGATGCATTTACTCCCCTCTTCTTGGCATTGGGATAGTAAGTCCAGTTTTGCCTCTTTTTTTTATCAATAGTACAAAAGAAATTTCAACAAACTGAAAAAAATCCAGCCACTAATATCACCAGAGCGCCCCAACACCTGATATATGAGGAGAGCATGAAAAAACTCAGATTGCTCAACTTGAAGATAAGGCAGCTAAGAAGTGATCTAACAGTAACCTTCCACTACCTAAGGATTACAGAGCAGATGAAGCCAAAGCTTTCTGTGAGATGCAGTGAAAGAGAAAGAGGCAACTGGTTGTAAGTTGCTACATGAGAAATTCCAGTTGTACATCGGAAAACTGGAATAGTTTGTTTAGAGGGACTGTGAAATCTCCATCCCTGGAGATTCTTAAAACTTAACCCAACAATGCCCTAAAGATCTTCCCCAGAACTTGAAGCTTAACCTTCTCAAAAATCTGTGCATGCCTCATTGTAAGACTGAAATGATTTGTTCAAATGCATAATTTTTTCATGTCCATGAACCTTTATAGAACTTTACTTGAAGGAAATAACTTCAGTGAACTTGTCAGTGTGAGTTGGAACTTTGTATACAGAAAATGGGAGCCACTTTTCAACAAACAAGTCCAACCACTGTTTGCTAACCTTAGAAATTGTGCAAATTCCAATAAGTCTCCTTTTTAAAAAAAATCAGAATCAACACCATATATACTGTTTAACTGTGACATATTTAATGTCTCTTCCTGAATTACCAACTAGCAGATTGATTCAATTTGGAAGTCACTTTCAGACAAACTATATGGAAAAGGAATAATATTAGACAAAAACCTAAGCAACTAAATACAAATGTACTCCTTTAAAATCCTTTAAATTCTGCTTATAATACTCCTATGTAAGCAAAGCTTTCTTTTTGATGAACAATTAGGTAAGCATTCTCAATTTAAGCAATAAAACTGGGCATTGTTCTGAAGTTCTTTGTTGCTAAGACCACTAAATGTTTGCCACAGGCCATAGCTGTTATCTGGACCCTGCAAGTTACTTAAAGATTATATCCATATAGGTTTGGTTTTAATGAGTAAGCACATTTTAATGTGCTTACTGTTAAGTATAGGCTGAAGTGTTCTGCTATACACTGTCCTTACTTCCAGGTAAGGTTTTACTGCACTTATAGGGGAGATACTTCCTATAGACAAACATTAAAAGGGAAAGCTTGAAATACATATTTTCCTATGAAAAATGTCTGCAAATGTCTTAATGATCTGGGTAACAGCAACTGTTTGAAAGAGGCCTAAATTCTGATCTCTATTTTGCTATAGTACGGAATGACCATTATATACTTTATCTACTGTGGCCATTTTTTCAAGAATAAATACATGATAATTTTATCTTTTAAAATTACTTTCTCTATATAAAATCCTTTCAGATATTTGTTAAATTTTTCAGTTTGTATTGTTTTCACAAATAGTGGTCCTAGAGTAGGAATAAATGAGAAATATTCTGGTTTAAAACTAGATAACACAGACTGTAAGTGTCACGACATTTAACTTGCACATTTTCATGCTATTTTTGCATTCCATATTCTGCCGAGCTACACAGACTATAAAGAGAAAGCTGTTTTTCCTCCAAATTTCTGCATTAATTTCTATTTGTCGTGTCCTTACTGATCTAACATCTTATATGGTCTATTTTAAATTTTTTAAAACGTAAGAATTCAGAATTGTAGACCCAGCAATGAAAGAGACAAATATCAATGCTCAGTTAAGGATGCCATCAGGCTTAGCTAACATGACCAGAATTGGATCAGGAAATAAACTACATGTGATCAACTTGTTACATAAATACACTTTAAGACAAAACACTAAAGACTACTACTTGAAAGGTTCTTCCTTGATTTTATACTGTCACAGTTAATGCATAGAAAAAAAATTTAAATCGCCTTCCAGAAAAAAAAAAAACAAAAAACAGCCCACAGAACATTTATTTCTTAAATAACCTAAAGTTTGTCTTTTTTAAAAAACTAAATAAATGAACAATCCCACTTGTACAGTACACTGTACAACAAAAAAATAATTATTGTATATCACCAGGGAAAGAGGAATTTCTTCTGGTATATGTTAGTGCTGTTATCGAGCATTGTACAAATTATGAATGAATATATTTTATTTGGAAACATGTTATTGACAGAAATCTATCAATAGTAATGTGAGTATTGTCAACGGACTGTCAATATTAATGTAATTATGATTAAGGGGATAACATGGATTTTAGCTATAATACCAAGTAACATCTCCTGCATTGCTGCTATCAATATAAGCATTATTATTGACCTGTTCTGGGACTATCAGTATGAGATGTATTACCATCAGGCATATTTGTCAATGCATACTGCCCACAAAAATTCTACATTTAAATTTACAGGTCTGTAAACTTTGCCTGCAGAAATATACAAATCCAACTAACCTCTAGGGTGCCATTTTTTCCACAGGGTTATTCCACTGTGGCCGAGTAATCAAGGGGCTTCTACTGTCTC